CCAGCGCAGGCGGCGCAGGCGCAGCGAGGCCCTAGGCGGACGGCGCCGGGGGGACGGGATGGGCGGGGCTAGGGTGTGACTTTGGCCTATGAAAAGCCTCTGCGGGTGGACGGCCGTCAGCGGCCATATTGACAACTGGCAAACTCCAGCTTGAGGGCCGGGGAGACAGAGGCGCAGGGGTCGGCTTCCAAATTGGAAAGGCCCGAGGAAAGAGCGGGTGCCCGCGTCTCAGAGAGCAACGGCCTCAGCTCGTTGGACTTCCTGGGGGCGGTAGCCGTTCTGAAGTCGTCCAGGGAGGTTGCGGCGGTGACGTCCAGGGCAGCGAAGGCCGAGGGCGGAAGGGCGGTGTGAGCATGCGCAGTGGCCACGTCGTGCCGGGAACTTCCCAGTTCCCGTGGGGGTGCGGTGCGTGGACGCGCCGGCTCTTCCTGGGGAAGCCGGACCCTGCGTCCCGGGCGGAAACTGCGCGCTGACCGGCTGCGGCTGACCGGGTTTGGCGGAGTGGATGCGAGACTCGTCCTGTGAGGAAGAGGCGGGCAGACTCGGGTTCGAGTCCTGAACCCTGTCACGTGTTAGCTGCCCCTCCTTAGTTGTCTCTAACCCCGAAGCCTCAGTTTCCAAAATTCACTTCCCTCGGTCATAAGGTAAAATGCGTAGCTTCAGCGCTTGGCGCTTGATGTTTCTTAGTATTACACCACGGGTCAGACACTTCCAAAGCAGCTATTTAAAAGGTGTATTTATTTCAAAAACCGTGCCAGTGTTCCCACGCAGCACATTTCAGAAAAACAAAATTATGACCATCCGTATTTTCATAAATGTTACATGCAGAGCCCCGTGGCGGCGTTGGGGACACACATGAAGGAGCCGCGGTCAAGCAGGCGCCCGGGCTGGCGGGTCCGACCCCGGAGCCGCGGCTTCCATTTGGGCTTTGCAGTAGCTTTCAGACGGCCTAGCGCCTGCCCTTCGCCGTCCCACCCACTCGCTTTGCACTCCGCGAGCAGGCCAGTCTTAGGCATCAAAAGCATGCCCCGTCCATAGAGCAGGCTGGGGGTAACGGTGCTTCTGAACCGCCTGCGGGGGACATTTTACTGGCCGATGGCAGCCTGGCCTGTGATCTCCTCCTGCTGCAAACTCCCCCAGTTAATCACCACCAAAGCTTGGCACTGTGCCCCCTCCTCAGCGCAGTGCCAGGGAGGAGCAAGAGAGCGCCTTTCGTCTGCTGTCTGGGTGCGTGTGTGGCAGACTGTTCGCATTGGTCAAAGTCTTTTGGCCTCAGCAAATAGCCGTGCGATCCTTGCCTTGAGCCTTCATATAGGTCTTAATACACAAAAATAATATAAAACTACAATTTGTATCTCCATTACCTTCCAAATTGTCTTTATTTTCATGTTCAGTAGTTGCGATAACATCATTACTACAGCTACCAATTTCCCAGCCACTTTCTCTATACAGAATATAGTTAGCGGTACATTTAAAATTTTAAATTGGAGGGACACATACCTAGAATCACAGTAATAATAGCTTTCAGTTATGAAGTACATACTATGTTTTAAGCAAGTGCCATTTGCTTTACATCTTTGACCCTCACATAATCCTGCGAGGTAGCTATTATCACCTTTTTATAGATGAGTTACAAGGAGCCCACTTATCTTGGTAAGCCATACAGCGGAAAACCAGCTGAGATGAGATTTCAATCTAGGTGCCTTTTTCCCCAGTCTTAGTGGTTAGCATGGGTTATAGAAGGCATTTCTTCTTGTGTAAGTTACCAATATAATAAATGGGCAGTCAATCAAAAAGCTTTTTCAGAAAAAATTTCTTCCCAGCTATAACCATATGAAAATCTATCAATAAATAAGATATATTACCAAAAAGTAATTGTAATGCTCGTTTTCTATTATCATTCTCTTTAGTTATATGGACTACACTTAAAAATAAATTTCATTCCTTTAAAAAAGTATTATTCAACTTCCTGTTATATTGTGGGTATGACTGAAATGCATTTTCAGTGTTTATATGTTTCCAGTGCTCTGATTCTTGGTGAATACCCCCATCGTGAGGATTGTGGGACCCAGCCCCATTTCTGTTTAAATCTTTACATCTTCAACAAGTCACACCCTCTGTGTCTGAGAATACTCTCATCTCATATTGTCCCTTCTCATTACCACACAGTGTCGCAGCTGCCACATCCCTATGTGCTTGCCTTCTTAGTGCTGCTGCGTGGCTATTTAACACACTCATGAGGAGCGCTCTATGTAGACATTATCTTTTGCCCACCTTGATGGGGGTTTTGCATTTCTGGAAGTCACAATCTAACATGGAAGGGAAAGCAGGGTTTGCTGTTCACGTGCTGCCATCTGTCGGCAGTGTGCTCTATCTACATTTACTGCTGTATCTTGACCCACTCTGAAATTTGGAGGTGTATGTAATCTCAATACTTACAGGATTTATTTTGCAAGAGATGATAAAATATTGATATTTATATTTGAAGTTGCACTGGAGAAACTTTCAATAACTGTTTCGTGAATCACGCTTATGTGATTCAACATTTATAATACAACTTAAATGTGACAGTCTTGTTTTAGGAACTTATACTTACAGAATTTTACCAGAAGGTATTACTAAGAATAAATAGGATGGGGACGGAGGAAACTGGGGAGGAGGGAAGATGCTAAAGATTTCTTTGGTAGGTACTAGTAATTAGCTGTAAAGTTAGAGCTCAAATATTTATTAGAGCACCATTAATTGCAAAGGCACTGTAGTGAATGGACATAGAAGATCTACCTTGAACTGGAGAGGGAGACTACCTTTTATTGAACTCTGCTGTGCGCCAGGCCCTATACTAACCTTTGCATGTATCACTTACTCTCCAGTATACCTACCAGGAAAAAGAAAAGGTATTAAGTGCTGTTGGTCGAGATAAACAGTTCTACGATGAATAGAGAAAGCCAAGGAAAACTCACTACCATTTTACTTGAGCTATGTGCAAAAAACCCTAGAATATGTCATATTCATATGCATCATTTATGTTATATTTATTCATTTAGTAACAATTTGAATTTTTGTGATAGACATCCTAACAAAGTAAGTTTGGGCATTCCAAGGTTATTTATTAGCCTCATCCTGATCATTTCTTTCATATACACCTACAGAACAATTTTTTGCTCTCTTATTCCTAAAACCTGAAAATTTTGATGCAGTGATTTAGGATTAGCTCAAACACCTCTTCCAGGAAGCCTTCCTTTTCCCCCCCGATATGAAGCTATGGACTCCATCCCCTGTTTCCTGCAAATACCTGCTACANAACACCTCTTCCAGGAAGCCTTCCTTTCCCCCCCCTGATATGAAGCTATGGACTCCATCCCCTGTTTCCTGCAAATACCTGCTACAGCATTTATCATATATTTCCTTGGAGTCCCTTAGACTGGGAGATCCTAGCAGCAATAGCTGTATCTTATTTATCTTTGAATGCCAGGTCTTAACACAGGACCTGGAATATAGTAGGAACACTGAAAATATTTGTGTGATCAGTTGAATAATTAAGATAGTACAATAGTCTACCTAGGAAATTCTAAAAACATTCAAGACATACTTTGATACCTGCTAGAGAGCACAGGTCAACATATATTTATATTGTCTCTGAGGTTAGGAATATCTATAAAATACATGTTAAATGTCCAAAAGATAAATATTTCTTTAAAATCTAAGAAACATTTTTTCCCAGCTTAAAAAGAAAAGTTTATTTAATGTTGATTTGACAAGTCCCAGTGTAATTTAGGATTTGAGAATTATTTTACCTATTCCATAGTTAAAATATATGAGATACTACATTTTGTATGGTGTACCCAAACATAAAAACACAATAAATCTCTCCTACTGTATTTGTATTCCCTTAACACTCTCAAAGACTGACTACAACCACTTTTCCACTGTTACCTGATTCTTCAGGTACCCTTTCCCACAACTCCAGGTTTGGTTCAGCATTATCTAACACCACCCTTTATCAACAGTGCTGTCTGAGTTTACTAATATTGATTCTTCCTCTTTCATCCGCTGTCAAGTCACTGCTTGTTTCTCAGACCGTCAGACCTTCCAGGTCAAACATAGACTGCCCTCATCCGCCTCCGTCATTATATTTCTTCTAGATTAGTTCTATAAAGGGCTCAAAACAATTGCATTCTGAACATCTTTAACGTTTATCTTTGCATTTACGTAAAAAAGTATAAGAATACTTTAAATTATCTCATTAGAAATTTCATAGTCTTCTAAATGAGCCAGTCAGAAAGTATAATGAAATAATTACACAAAAAGCCATGTCACGACAATTATTGGAAATAGAATTTGTTTGGTCCCCAGTTGATTGTAACTAATAATCGAAGCTGATACCACTTTAACTTATTGAGACCCTTTTTCTGCGCATGGACTTGACATGCCTTAGTTCATTTCATCTCTTCCTTTCTGTAAAATGGAAACTATTTCCCCCATTTTAACTTCATTC